CTGTGGACGGACTTGCTGCTGTGGTGGTTGCTGTGGACGGACTTGCTGCTGTGGTGGTTGCTGTGGACGGACTTGCTGCTGTGGTGGTTGCTGTGGTCGGACTTGCTGCTGTGGTGGTTGCTGTGGACGGACTTGCTGCTGTGGTGGTTGCTGTGGACGGACTTGCTGCTGTGGTGGTTGCTGTGGACGGACTTGCTGCTGTGGTGGTTGCTGTGGACGGACTTGCTGCTGTGGTGGTTGCTGTTGACGGACTTGCTGCTGTGGTGGTTGCTGTGCACGGACTTGCTGCTGTGGTGGTTGCTGTGGACGGACTTGCTGCTGTGGTGGTTGCTGTGGACGGACTTGCTGCTGTCGTGGTTGCTGTGGACGGACTTGCTGCTGTGGTGGTTGCTGTGGACGGACTTGCTGCTGTGGTGGTTGCTGGGCACGGACTTGCTGCTCTGGTGGTTGCTGGGCACGGACTTGCTGCTGTGGTGGTTGCTGTGGACGGACTTGCTGCTGTGGTGGTTGCTGGGCACGGACTTGCTGCTGTGGTGGTTGCTGTGCACGGACTTGCTGCTGTGGTGGTTGCTGTGCACGGACTTGCTGGTGTAGTGACTGGTTACGGTGCTGGGGGTGTCCCGCAGTGTTGTTACGGTGATATTGAAGGTGCTGGCTGCTGCTATAGAGGTGGCGGTGCCAGGGGCTGTTGGGTGCGTATGCTGCCATGGTGATGGTGTTGGCAGGTGCTGCGTCTCTGGTGGTGGAGGTACGAGGAACTGCTGCTTCCGTAGTGGTGGCGGTGCTGGGCGATGCTGCTGGGGTACTACCGTAGTGGGTGTGCTGGTTCCTGCTTCTGTTGTGGTGGCGGTGCTGATTCTATGATGTTAGCCAAAGATGCAGCATCTGCTTCAGAAGCACCTCTGATATCTGGTAATGGCTGTTCTGTGTTCGATGCCTTCTCAGCATGACTGTCATGAAGCAGAACAGCCAGGCTTTGGAGACTTGAAATATTTGTCTTCTGTGTGCAATTTTTCTTATGGTACTTCAAGCTTGAGTTTTGGTCGAAGGTTCGACCACAGCCTTGATGATTGCATATAAAGGGGAGTTCACCTGTGTGCCGTTTCAAGTGCCTATTAAGGTATTAATTTGTTATTCTTGTATGTATTGCGGACACATCCCTCCGAAAGGCATTTAGCAAGGTCTTGCCGCTTCCTGGTATAGCGTAATCTTCCTTTCAGATGTTCCTTCCAGATGTGGTCTCGAAGCTCTTGTCCAGTTGTGCAGAGCTGATCACAAGCACTACCTGCACCGTTCGGCACACGCCACTTACACACCTGGTTTTTTGAAGCTGGTTGGGGTACCATGCAATCCCGCTTTTGGCTATCGTCGGCCTCTTCCGGCATCACAGCATCAACAGTAACGTTCGTCACCATGACTCCTGCTAAGAAACCAAGGGTAGTAGAAGTGCCTCCAACCTTCGGCACACGAGGAAAAAGTACTCTTGCAGCGCACAGCTCTTGATATGCTCACAACTAAGTTTTGGTCGGCAGCAATCTGCAAGGACTAACTCGTAGTGACAGCGGCTCTTGACTCCAACTGCCCCGCTGCTCTCTCTGCTCAGCATTGTTAGTCTACCACGTGCATATACACACAAAATTGTCGTATTTTTTCATCGATGCATTAACTCCTCCTGTAGCCCCCTTCTTCAACAATTATTCACCCGAACGGCCCCGGAGACTGTTCCGGAGGATCAGCGCACCACACGGGGACAACTGTCGAACTTGCTTCAAGTTCCCTTTCTTCGTGGGCCTGCGGGACGATCGACCATGATGTATCGGGGAAGCATTCTCTGGAACGCTCTCCCCTCTGATTTTAGAGTGATAGGTGTCCCTGGTCCCTTCCGAAAAGCTCTTTCTGCCATTGATATACTTACTTTGTGAATATCCTTTTATTATCTGCCATAAATTCCAACCTTCTCATCTATCAGTCCTTTGTGCATGCATGTCTATAAAATCAACCACGTGTTCCTGACTCCATGAAATTGCCTTTCTATTCTTTGACTCCATGAAATTATTGTCTTTCTATTTCTGACTCCATGATTTTTTCTTTTTTTTCTTTTGGTCCTTTCTGTCTTATATTATTATCATTTCTTGTTTTCCCTTGCATATCATCCCTTCATCATTCTGTGAGAACCTGTCCTATGGGCAGGTGAGAAGGCATCTCTGCCTGTTCATTTGGTGAAGTAAAATAAACAACAACAACAACTCAAACATCTGATGGATCACAAAGTGTCAATGGAAACACAAAAGATTGCCATGTAGGAATGGAATGAGAATGGCGCTTAGTCACTGGCGAGAAGTAGATGCGTCTATGTGCATGGATTGTAATCTTCATAGCTCCCCCTCTAATACAACGGTGGTATTAAAGCATAAGAAAGTCGAGCTCTCGGGCTTCGATGCAAAACAACTCGCACAGAAACAAACAAAATTCCCAAAAAAAGAAGGTAACATGACCACACTGCTCGATACACGCCATCTTGTGAACAAAGAGGCCAATTTATACCGTTATGCCTGAATAACTCGTCACGCATGATTACTCACCCTCAAACAAAAGCTCAATATTAAAGTCGGATGCTGATGTGCGAACGTTGTTCTATGTTTCAGTCCAGAGATTTGACATCCTGGCCGTTAATTGTAAAATGTGTTAGTCACCAGTACGCGGTAGTACAGGCACCGAAAGAAGGAATTATATGTCCTTGAACACTTTCGTTGACATCTCTTGGGAAGGTTCACTGGCAAATTCTTATCTCCATGGAAACTTCAGCGTAGCATACCTGCCAGTAGGTTTTGGTGGAGAATGCTCGAAAAGGAGGCAGATTCTGCTAAAAAAAGTAAAATTGAAATTGACACTAACACTGAGAACCAAGCACGCTTGTGGCTTATGAGTCGTTATGAATTCTCCTCCTCTTCCTATTTCTTATACACACATGTGCTGTGTGCTGTCGTGACTTGTGTGGCTGAACCTAGGAGTTTCATCCCAAACGAAAGAACACAAACACACGCACGTGTGCGCATGCGCACACACACACACACACACACACACACACACACACACACACACACACGCTCTCTCTCTCTCTCTCTCTCTCTCTCTCTCTCTCTCTCTCTCTCTCTCTCTCTCTCTCTCTCTCTCTCTCTCTCTCTCTCTCTCTCTCTCTCTCTTAACTCAACCCAAAGTCACAATACTGCATATTGTGTGCATGCCGCGGTGCAGGTATTGTGTCCTCCAGAATGGTGGCCCAATGTGACCACGGCACAGCCAGCCACGGCACCAACGAGCAGTCCGGCTACATACACATACTCACCGACGACAACAACAACAACAACATTCCCCTGGACACAAGTTGTACGGGTAGACGGAACACGGGGTGGTCACGGTCGACCGGCACCCCGGGACGACGTACAAGTGGAGCCTGCTGACAACATCGTCTGGACTATGCTTATAGCCGTATCCTTGCAATGCTTACCATGACCATAGGGTCTTGTATTAAAGCCTCTCTCATAATACAGTCAGATCTCGCTTAACCGCACACATCCGTTTTCCACCAAAAATCCGGATAGGCCAGGGAACCGGATAATCGAACAAACATTCTGTATGTATGTACGGCATATGCTGTAAATCGGTAAAAAAACGATTTTCTGCCGGATGGCGAGGGATCCGGATAAAAGAGGACCGGATAAGCGAGATATGACTGTAATAATTATTATATCAGTTAGAAGCCTGTCTAAGACGACCGCTCAAGGGACATTCAAAATGTGGTCTCTGTTGCCAGGTGGTCGCCTTGTCCAGGGCCATTTGACTGGAATAGCATCCCCTGGTCCTGGCTGCAGCGGTCTTCTAGGACAGGTGGTCGCCTTATCCGAGTGGTCACATCGACAGGTTTTACAGTACAAGCCTGGTTTTTAAGATGCACTGGCAGCACATCAGCCTGGTTTTAATGTTGACACACAGAGAAATACAGTAAAACCGGTCAAGGCGACCACTCGGATAAGGCGACCACCCGTCCTAGAAGACCGCTGCAACCAGGACCAAGGGGTGCTATTTCAAGTCAGATGACCCTGGATAAGGAGCGGACCACCTGGTAACGGAGTCCACGTTTTGAATACCCCTTTGAGCGGTGGTCGTCTTGGACAGGCTTCACTGTACTGTGGTTTGATTGGAAGCCCGATGTGTGAACAGAAGTCAAGCCACTGACATTGCCTTCTACAGGAATACTGAGCCCAGCTTTAGTACACTGCGGCATTACGGTAACTGTGCTTACCTGTTTATTGCAGGGGCGTCCGTCGGACACAGTACAGTCACTACGGTATTGAGTCTATTGACTGTACCACTCTTTGCCCCAGATACCCTGTGAATCAATCAAATGCACTGATCCAGGCGGGGCTCTAAATTTCCAATTTTTTCTGACCTCAGCCACCCCCGGCCTCCCCCCACGAGTAAATCGTACTTCAGATGGCTGACCGTACCACACTAAAATGCATGTACCTTCCGACGTCCCTGCATTGCTATGCGTTTGTGTTGCAATATACCTACTTTTGTAGAGTAGAACGGCTCGTGTAACGTGACATGCACACCTTTGCAGACAGATCCGTCCTTGATACGGACCGGAGTTGTTCTGGTTCTGGTTCTGGAGGTGTCCGTGTTATGGAAGTGTCCGTGTTATGGAAGTGTCCGTGTTATGGAAGTGTCCGTGCTATGGAAGTGTCCGTGCTATGGAAGTGTCCGTGCTATGGAAGTGTCCGTGT